TCAATGAGTGGCTCTTTGGTCCATGTCTTTGTCAGATGCATTAGTGTTTGCTACAGACATAAATCTAGCTGTTCCTCATTCATATCACACATTGCAGCCTGCCTTCCTGGCTTATATGGTGCAGCTCCACTCCTTAGGTTTGAATTGGGTCCATTCTATGTTCAACAGGGAACAAATCCAAATCTATCTAACACAGAATTTTAGCAAAGTGAGAAGCAGAACAAAACCTGCTGGAGAGGAGTGACTAGAAGAGTGGAGAAATGGAGAAACACAGACAACTAGAGAAAGTCATTAAAACAGAGCTAAAGTACAGGGGATGTAATAAATCATAATATATTAATGAAATAAGTCGTAGTATCATAGAATGGTTAGAGTTGGAAGGGACCTTAAAGATCATTGAGTTCCAACTCCCCTGCCATGGGCAGGGACACCTCCCACCAGACCAAGTTGCTCCATCCAGCCTGGCCTTGAACACCTCCAGGGATGGGGCATCCACAACTTCTCCGGGCAACCTGGTCCAGTGCCTCACCACCCCCACAATAAGGAATTTCTTCCTAATATCTAACCTAAATCTCCCCTCTTTCAGTTTAAAACTGTTACTCCTCATCCTATCATTATACTCCCTGATAAAGAGTCCCTCTCTATCCTTCCTGTAGGCCCCCTTTAAGTACTGGAAGGCCACTGTAAGGGCTCCCTGGAGTCTTCTCCAGGCTGAACAACCCTAACTCTCCCAGCTTGTCTTCATAGGAGAGGTGTTCCAGCCCTCTGATAATTTTCATGGCCCTTGTCTGGACTTGTTCCAATAGGTCCATGTCCTAGTAGTTGCCTTCTACTGATTTACTGGTTTAGCTAGTGGAGTATTACTTCTTTTTTCTATCCAGTAGAACAGTATGTTTCTCAAAGATGCTTGTCAGAAGAATTCATTTTGGAACAAAATTGCAATCATAATGTAGTTTTTCTTTCTTAAACTCATTTTGAATACATAAATGTTTTATGTAAGGCAGGAAAATAGGAGGAAAACTAATTAGATGGCCATCAAATGTTCTGTTTCTCTGGAAGCAGAAGAAATGCCATATTTAAAGGGTATTTCAGAAATCAAGGGATTTGTTTCTACAGTCATGGAAATCACAAGATAGTCCAATAGTTTCTGTTTCTAGAGAGCAGGGTGAGCCTCTTTAGGGTGACTTTTTTTTTTCCATCAAGGGATGAAGCCGTTGATTTTGTCACAGTCAAGACAGCTCCCTCCCACAGGGGTTGGCATTTCATCCCCCAAATTGGGAAGTGCTCTGTACCACCATAGCAACCATGTGCTTTAGAAAATTTGCCCCAACGAGAGGTAGAGAGCCCTTTAGAAAACCTGCCTTCCTCTGTACTCAGTGCGACTAAGTGCTAGTTCCTGGGAAAATTGTGTCCTGAACACCTGGTGTTGAAATTCTTTACTCTAACCTTCCATCAGCACAGCTTTTGCTATTTTGAATTATTTATATTGCTTCTGGGGACACTGCTTGACGTTTATATATAGGAGTTCAGCAGTGCCATGAGTGAATTGTTACCTTCTCCTCAACAAATGAAAATAAGTACTTGCAAATCTTGGCTTACAAATCTTGGCTTCCATTAAAATGTAATTACCTCCCTTTTGTGCCTTATACATTAAGAGTGGCTTCAAATGGTATGTGGCTCCTGTTCAACATAATTACTTTCCTTTGCTGCTTGCATAGTAAGAATGAGGCTCTGGACTAAAGATGACTATTTAAAGAGGGCTGCTGCCATTCCAAATTGCATAGAGACAGTTCTGCTTATCAAAGAAATTTGTTTACTTGATAAGATCCCCACTGGAATTGTTGTTACCCGTCTTCATGGACCCACAGAAATGGGTCCAGTGCTAATCCATGACCACACAGCCTTTAATCCTGTGAATAATTCTTAGGCATACAACTATTCGTAGGGTTATTCAGGTGGTGAATCATTAGATAATCCAGTGTGTGTGCATCGACACAGTTTGCTCTCGCAGGGCTGTTTGTACAATGCTACGTGGGTGTTTTTATCTCACTGGGAGTGCTCTGGGAGCAGGACGGCTGTGCAGTGCTTGGTTGCTGCGTTCTGCAGGGACTGCCAGGTATTCTGAATTTCCTCTTTGCATGTGCCCTGCTCCAGGATCCTGGCCTCCATCTGAGCAAGGGCACCGCTAGACAGCCTCTCACTGGGGGGATAAGAGAGAGGGGACAAGGTGTATGCTGTAAAACAGACACAAAAATTTGTAAAACAGACACAAAAATTGAGGACTGTTTTGTTATCCTCATTAATATTCTGGAGCATACATAGCTCACTCTTCTGGTACTTTTGTTTTGCTACAAGGATCGCTGGGATAGTGAAGACAGATATTTCCTTGAGGTGAAGGAAGCCCAGTCTGGAGTGGAGAAGGTATAGCTCCTGCTGCTGCCTCCCTCAACGTGGCTGCGTGCTGAGCCATGCCGAAGATGGAAGGACATTTTGGCTGGGGCACTAGCACACACAAGGCACTTGGAGCAGTAGGCAAACAGCTACCCTCATCCGTTCCCTCCACTGCACAAAAAGGCTGTTTCAGTGGGAACTTCTTGATGGGTTACTATGATTTCTGATGGCAGACTGGGGCCACATGAAGAGACCTGGCAGGAAATGGCTGAACCAAAGGTCTGGCATCCAATCTGTGCTAAGCTGAATTGAATTTTTGGTAATTTTAATGTATGGAATAGGAATCAGAATGGGGTTGTTGATAGTGTATCTAGGGGATCTTTCCCTCACTTAACTGGTAGGTGGGTACAGCTGGTGCTGGGGCATAAGATTGTTGAGCTTTCAGGTAACTGGTTTTGTACTCTGAACTTGTCAGGTTTTTGAGCGTGGTGTCAGTGCTGGCATTGCTGGCACGGTTACCCTTTCAGTCAAGCCTGGTGACTCTGGGAAGGGAAGTGTTGGCAGACCAAGTGATGAGAGTGATGCAGATCCGTGTGTGATTGTGCGAGCTGACCTGATGTCATAAAAGTTTAAATAGTAGTGTAGGGTGAGGACAATGAAAATGACACAGATATCCAGAGTAGGTCTGAACAATGAGAAAACATGAACAAGGGAACTTAAGGAGTAACTTAAAGGAACTTTATACTTGGTTAGCCATGGACATACTGTAGTCTGTAGCCTGACCATAGTCAAAACAGGTGGAGGGCAGCTGTGAACAGACATGAGAGTATGAACAGCAACAGTTTCATGGGACACTATCTGGGTATTGGTGTCTGTGGCAGGATTTTTAGAAGAGCCTAAGGACTGGGAAATATTTGAGCAGTTTTCTCTTTTGTTTGTTTTTTGGGTTCTTTTTTTGGGGTGTTTGTTTGTTTTATGTTGCCATAACTCTGGGGGTGCATGTCATTTTGTGGAGCACATGGGCTTTGCATCAATACAGCTTACCTGTCTGAAAGATTAAGGTGTGGTGGTGTGAGTACCTATAATGTGAGTGGAATTGCATCCTACACATGAGGATTTTACTCTGCTGAGGCATGGAGCAGAATCACTTGTCTTTGTAGGTAGATGGGTTTGGCAGCTTGGGTGATGAGCAGATTGTCACAAGGTAGACAACAGGGAGGACTGAACTTTTGCTAACAGCAGCAGATATAGGCCACGTGCAAATGAATAAACAGAAGATTGTCTGGTACCTCAAGTCAAGTGCAAAGTGCATAGTCTTTGATGACGGAGACCTGATGTGATTGCACAACTCCAGACCAAAAAACTTCTCATGGTGGTTAATTCACCACTACCATGAACTGCACATACTCTTCAGTAGAGTCGTATTAATGGTCAGCCCACATTCCTACATCTTCTTTGCTTTTAGTAAATTTATTTGAACTCTGCAGAGTGCCTTTCTGCCTGTGCTGTATCTAAAGATATTTTACAGATTCAGGTGCTGGTATGATTGATAAAATACTGCTGTTTCTTTCAGAAAAAATGGTGTTGGGGGGGGAAGAGAGAGTGTGAGAGAGAGCACGATCAATACAGAATCCAGGAGGTTCAGTGATACAGAGGGAAAAGTCACAGAAACTCAGTTTCCATCCCTCTGTAGTACCTCTTGTGTTGTGTTTTGTGGTAATATCCATGGGGATTTGTTCACATTCCCAGGAAGAGCTGTTGTCCCCCCCATCACAGGGCGACAGGTGATAAAAGAGTACCTAATCTTCTTAATTCACATTCAATTTTCAGGTCCCTCTGTAAATTTCCTTTACCTGTAGAACACCACACTATTCTGTAGCACAGTGAAAGTTCCCAGAGATGGTAGTATAATATATAAACTTTTCACTTGTACCTTCACATTGTTCCCTTATTTACCCTAAATTAATCAGAGAAGCAGATGCTCCCTAGTCCCTTCCCTGTCCTGTCATTACCAGCTGGCTGGACTGACCATGCTCTAATGACTCCAGGCCAAATTTCAGTTGCCTCTCAAGTGGGCGTAGGTGTTTGTCCCAGACAAAGGGGGAAGGGTTGGCAATGGAGAAGCTTAAGAAACAAGTGAGCTTTCTCACCACACTCTGGAGTTGCTCTCATATTCAGAGAAAGCCAAAGACTAACAATGAAATAGAAAGGAAGCAAGGGAGGGGTTTGTGTATGGGTAGTGTGTGCAAAGCTTTCTTCCAGCTCTCCACTGAGCCATGACCCGGTTTCTCCAGGAGCTGCCTGCTGTTTTCTTATTTTCGAAGCAAGTTCCTGAGACAATGCTTTGCATGCCAAACAGGGTCAGTTGCTCAGATAGGAAGGGTTCTGAACTGAACATGCGCCTCCTTTCCATCTTCCCTAGCATCTTGGCTATTCCTTTTTTTTTTTTTAAGTTTTTCCTCCTGTTTTTGCCTTTCCTTTTTCATGAGGAAACAAAATTAGTCCTTACGTGCATAGAGAAAACAGGGGGAACTTTCAGGGGTATTGGATTAAATTTATTGCAGTGACTGCTAGATGCTAATTTTTTATGGTTATTATTATCTTCACAGAGTCCAAGAAGAAGAAAAAGGAAGGCAAGAAACAAGAGAAGATGCTGGATTAATGGAGCCAACTTGGGCAATGTGAGAAAGGGACATCAGCAAACATGATCAGTTAACAGTTTCATTTATACCTAGGCATTTTATCCTAAAATTATTTATAGCTTAATGGTACCATAGAAGGAAACAAGCAAACAGAAAAAAAAATCCTTTTTTTATTACTTTAGTATTTTTATGTATAACCCTAACAACAATTTTTAGAGGCCTGTAAGAAAGGACTCCAAACTTATTTAGAAAATTATGTCTATTGTATATTGAACAATGTAGAGGTTTTTAAAATATTTTTTCCTCAAGTCTTGCCACAGGTCTCGATCTGGTAATTACTCCATGCAAGCAGAACCTGAACCTGTGTGGAGCTCTGCTGAAGCCAGTGGTGCCCTTTGTGAACATAGGAGATTGGCTGAATGCAATTGTATTTACGATTGGGACCTTATACCTGAAAAAAAAAACCAAAAAACCAGACTTGTTTCTGAAGTTCTTATTACATTTGGATAACCATATGAAATTATTTGTTTAAGGAAAGAATGGGGGCATTTTGTTGACTATTTACAGGCATAGATTTTTTTTGGATGTGGCAAATGTTCATGCCAAAATGCCACCATCTCCAGGTAAAAGGCAGTAGCACTCCTATCCTTGGGCATATTGTGTATTTTTGCAGGAAAAATTCTGAAATCTTTCAACAGTTGGACATAGAAGAGTCCTAATTTTTCACAATTTTCTAGCAATGATTTTTCCAAGTGGAATGATAGCAAAAATTTGCATTTTTTAGCATATGACTGCTGGTGGATTTAAGTGTCCTCTGTTTTATCTATAAAAGATGAAAAATGTTTTCTTTTATTTGTTTATTTTTCCAGAAATGGAGAATATCCTTTTTTGAGAAATCCAGCTGAAATTGTTGCGATTCAGCCTGATCCAACTCCCTTTTGTATCATTGAGAATCTTCCTGTTGATTTTAATTATAGCTGGTTGAAAAGTAGTATGTTTGGTGGGAAGTAACAGAAAAAATCTGTTTGGAAATTGCCTGAGATAGTTCATGTTTTTGACCAAAAAAGGGGCATATCATATTTGTTAGCAAAGCAGAGGGAAAATATAAAACTAGTACCTTTTGCTTTCTTCCATTTCTATATAAGCAAAAAGATCTTGGAAAAGCCTAGTCAAAATAGAAATAGTTCTGTGATTTTTAATTTTTTTTTAAATGGTGTGCAGGGAAAAAAAATAACCAGCTGATTTTCAGTTTGTTTAATTTTGTCTATTTTAAATGCTAATAAGTCTTGAGAAAAGTCATAAAGTAGAAAAAAGATCTTACAAAGGGCTGGTCTGTCCCCAGATAATGGGATTTTTAACAAACTAAACAACCAGCAGACCAGACTTTTTAGAGGAAACAGAAGGGATTTCAGTGCCCAAATTAATTTCAAAATCATCGCTTTTAAATTCTGAAAGTTAAAATTGAACAGCAAGAAATAAGCTTTGCTGTTTGCATAGGCTGCAGGGTTGCCTGCTGCTCAAGAGGAATAATCTCCCTTGTACTGCTATGGGTACCCACTGACTTCAGCGAAGCTGCAGCGGGGTGTGTTCATCTGAGTAAATCACATCATTGCTCTCTTGGGATTAGCTTGTAGACAAGCAGAGAGTCTTTTTCCAGACTAACATCACTCCCCTTTTCTATGCAAAAAATCTGTAACAATTGCAGAGCTTACCCTCTTATCTCTCACCTGGAGGGTATGGCTGATTTGAACTCACAGTGAGGCAAGTCCTTCTGTAGACGTTCCCAAGCCCTTTTGAAGCCAGCTAGCCAAGGCTGCACATAGCTCAAGGTAGACTAGCCACACAATTATTTTCCAGACTCCTTGGGTGTGTTTTGCAGTCCATGTTGATGTCCTTGATATTTTGACTATGCTGTTAGACATACCTGAGCCAGTGGTGTAGTTAAAAATGTCCCCAATGTGTGGTGGATATGCAATGACCAAATCCAAAATCATAAAGGCTCATATTTGGGTGGTTCTGGGTGCTATTTGGTATGTTCATGGTCTAATCAGGTCTACCTGTGCTTGTGCCTCAGACTTAAACTAATGGATTGGTAGGTCTGATTGAAAACAAAGGGAGAAAGAAGCTTTTACACTCACCAAAGGTTTGTCTGTCTAAATGCTGCATCAGTTCACTTAAAGTGATTCAGCTTTGAGTGCAAACACTGTTGCACCATTGTCTTACACTGGTTAATCTAGTCCATGTTTCATATGGAGCTGGCAGGGGTTGGGAATGATGCTTAGACCAACAGTTTGACTATCCTTTAGCAAACTCTAGATGTGACTTCTGATTTTCACCTCTGTGAGTAAGAAGAAAATAAATTCCCCTGTGTTTCCTCTGACAACTTATGGCCCTTATGATTAACTGCCCATCTGGCTTGTTAAAGGAACATTCCTGATATTTTTTGAAGGAGGCCAGTCAAGTTCCTATGGTGGTGTAGGGCCTCCATGAAGAGAGTTTACAGGAAATGAAGAAACAAATAAAAGCATACCATTAGGACCAGAAGAAAGTGCAGCAGTCCTGATAGCAAAGGGTGTGAAATAGGAGAACACTTCCTCTGTACTGCTTAGCCACATATGTTTGGATCTGTATTGGAATCTTGTTGTTGACAATAATTGGAGTTGTATCTGTCATAGTTTAAAAACAATGAAGAAAATTTCCAAGAAACCAGCAGAAAACGTTCTGTGGAAACTCTGGTTATGAAGGACATGATAAAAGTAATTCATGGCAGAACACAGAGGAAGATTGAATAGAACAGGTCAGTCAGGTCAGCTCTGAAAGAAGGTACCTGGTACCTAACAGGAGCAGTTGCTTCACTAGTGACATTATCAAGAAAGCATGAGGCAAGTAATGGAAGAACACCTCTTCCCACCCTTTCTTGCTCAGTTTCCACTTGAGTCATTCTGGAATTTCTCCTTATTTGCATTCTAATCTTTTATCCTCCCTCCTTTGGGAGGGCAACCTTGTCTGACAGTGCTGTGGGGGTGGCTACTTCAGATGAAATATGTATTTTACCCTCTTGGTGCTATCCTGTTACAATGGAAAATGACTTAGCATAGATGTGTTGCTTAGCTAGTTTAACTGACTGAAGCTTGTTTTGCGGAAGTCCTTCTCGAGAAGTGGTTTCCATCTTCATTTGCTACAGCTAAAATACAGTATGGGGAGATGATAGAAATCCCCCAAATGACACCTTTTTCTGAGTGCTCAAGTCTCTTAGAAAAGAGAGGGGAGAGTTGCTGAACATCAGCTAAGGATGAATCGGCATCCAGACTCTGGCTTCTAGCAAGTTTAAACTTAGGGGAATGTGGGTGTAGCTCTCTTCCCTTCCTCTAAGTAGGTTGAGCCATGCTTCTAAGCAATTAGGCCTGTCTGTATCTTGATTCAAAACATTATTTGAGGTTTGGTGCATTTTCTGACTTTGACAGGTCTCCTGACAGAAGTGCCCATATTGAAAGAGAATGGCAACCTAGCGTATTTAACAGACTATTAAGTGCAGCAAAACTATAAGGCAAGGCTACAGAAAGGGAAAACATTTGTTGTACGTGCAAGTAGATACTAAGTTGTAATGTACAAGTACTCATCTTCTAATTCCATAATGACATTCTGGATTGTACTGTTTTTCAAAGGGGAAATATTAGGAGAAATGAAAGAATAATAATTATAAAACATATCAACAGACAGTGTTGGAGACTTTGTCAAGAAGAGACAGAAATGAAGTCAGGAGCATTTTATACAAACTTCCTTTGCATGTTCCTTGAATAGGGAAGGCTGGCACATTTGTTTTTATACTTTGATTTGTGCCTTAATGAACACTAATCAGATGTAGAATGTTACAGAGAATAAAGTCACACTCCAACCTCAATACAACCTGTCCAACAGGAGGCAACATCAAAAGGAGACACTACTATGCTTTTTTTTTTGGTTTAGGAGTACAAGTTGTGATGATGTTTATAGGAGAAAACATAACGTATTTCTTTAACTTTGGTGTCGGTCCTTCATCACTTGGTAAGTGGCAATGGACAATTCAAGTAAAAGGCCAGAACATTACGATGAACTAAGTGGAAGTGAATACTCATGAAGACTGTTTATAGAAACAGGCCTATAAAGTCCCTGAAAATAACCATGCTGCTATCAGGGGGTGTCTGAAGATAAACATTGTGTAGCATTCCCATTTGTTTAATGGAATCCTTTAACATATGATGAAATTTATCTGAGTTTCCTTTGTCTAATGTCAATTATGAGGGTGGGACAAAAGCCAACCTGACTTTCCTTCAGTCTAGGAACTGCAACAACATTAACAATGTAAATCTGCCACTTTTCTAAAGCAAAATATCGGTGAGGTACACCATTTTAACATGATGCAGTAGTCTTTCACATCTTCTAAATTCTTATAGAAGGGGAAGCAGTAAGTTAGTAGGGGTAGGTATCTCATCTTTTTAAACTTTCGAGGACAGTATCTTCTGTGAATTGCTGACTGTGTTCTCTCCTTTGCGGAGACAGATTATACTGTTGTCTGCCTTCCCCCACTCATCCCTAATTGTGATAGAATTTGTAGGTTTTCTGTCAATTCTGCTGAGGCACTCTGCGTCTCAGCCAAATTTCTGTGGATATTGTTGATCTTTCCTCATGCTTGAGGCTATATTCTCCGTTTCATGCTGGATTGTTGCAAAACAACCCCAGCAAGTCCCTACCATCAGGTACCTCTCATTGTGTCCTTCTAAGATTAAAAAACAGAGTAGGATTTTGTTAATCAGAAGATTATAAAGAACAAGGAAATATGAGAATGGGCAAAGATATTCCCTGGGTTCAGTGGGGGTTCTTGCTGCTGAAACCTTCATCGTAGCTCAACCTGATCGAGGCTTCCATAGGGACAGAAATGCATCACATTTGATCGAAGATTAGAGCCAATGATTAAAGAGTGTCTGCCTTCAAACAGAAAAACACCTTAGCTAGATAAACAGTGGTAAGAAGCTGCATCCTTTCCCACTGTGTCGTCTTTTATCATAAAATTAAAGGGAAGAGACATAGAGCTTCAGGGATAGTGGAAAACTTGCCTGAGCAAAGTGGAGCACAGAGACAGCCTCTTCTACTCCATGGCTGTTTGCATTTGGAGAAAGTCTAGGTAGTATTATTCCTAGCAGCAGAAGACTTTGTGTGCTCAAGTGTAGTCATTTTCTTAATGTTCCTTTTCTGCTACTCTTCCAAGTGTCAGTCTGCCTTGTGGCCTCATCACTTGGATCTGAGCAGAAATGAGATATTTCAAGGAAAATATGGGAATTCAACTATATTGAACCATCATTATCTCATTGGTAGGGCTGAGCATTCCTTTTGCCCATTCTACAATTTGCCATTTAAATGTGGAGTGTCTTGGGGTCCCAGGTGGCTAAAATCTCAGTGGGTATCTCCTAGACTTTAAATCACTTGGCTTTGGGTGAGTTGCCTATGAAAAAACTGTACCTACAGTTCTTATTCCTTTCTTAGAATAACAAACAAAACCCACAACAAAACTGAAAGCATGTGTCCAATGTATGAATTTATGGATGAGATAAAACAGAGGCTCCCAAGTATTCCCATTTCAGAAGGTCATTCAAAGGTAAAGACAGTACAAAAGCTTTAGCCCTGAATTCTGTGATGTAAAGCTAGGAAAATGGATAGCATCTGCAGTGCTGTCTTACCCATAGCCAATTTCATTCAATTAATTACACTGTTTGAATTCCCTCACCCTGATCTACCTGGCAACAAGACATAATTTAACTTTTATCATTAGGTCATTCATTACACTTCTCATATTATACTTATGTAGTTCATCTAGATTTTTACAGCTGAAGGAAACGGCTCTGATAATACAGATTGTGTTGTGGTTACTGAGGGGACCTGAAGCAGAGACAGGCTTGGGGCTAGAAACCACCTAATGAGGATGTCAGCATCAGACAGAGCAGCTCTCTGAATACACACGCATAGATACTGCATATATATATCCCCCCATCTATGGGGAAGCAAAGCTCCATTAAAAAGTGCATCCTTAACTCAAATTGTGTCTCATGACTAGTGCTGCCATGTTTTCAAGCTAAAGTAGAAGGGAAAGGGCTTTTTTGTCCTGTGTTGTTATTTACATGAGGACGCAAGAGTAGTATCTAGGATGAAAAGCTAGATTTCTTGCCACTCGCTGGCATATCAGTTTAAGGATAGCTGTGTCCAAGGAAAATGCAAAACATATGCCAATAAAATGGCCAATGGGACTTAGTATCAGAGTGATGTTCTCTTCTGTCACACCAAGTACATGGAAGGGCTTTGTCTAAAGCTTCAAGGTGGATGAACAGCTTCAGTTAGGTGTGAACATACAAACCCAGGCAGAAAAAGGCTTTTCTCTGCCAATAATAAGTGAGGAAAATGGGAAAAAAAGATGGGAAAAAAAAGTAAAACAGAAATCATCTTGATACTTGTAGTTTTAGTGTTAAACAGAAAGAAGGAATGAAAGTAAAAATAACAAATTAAAGCCTGGATATCACATTCAATCGATTTCTAATTCTGTATATATCTATTAAACCAGTGCTATATGATATCTTCTCATGGGTTACTATCTTTTTCCTGTTTCTTTTCCTTTTTTTTTTTTCAGTTTGTATATTGATTTTGTAAGCTAGGAGTGTGTTACCTTTTCGATTTTTTTAAACTTGTATGAAAGCCATATATCCATATCGTAGAATGAAAGCATTAATCCTGTAACATCCCGTAATGTTTCCCTTAGCTCTGTGGGATTGTGGGAGGCTCTAGCGAATGTATATGTTTACCAATTGTATCAACATAATTTACTTGCTCTTAGTGGCGATAAAGAATTAAATAAACTAATACACGGAAGTGTGGTGTTCTCATTTGGTTGTGGAAACTGTAGGGGACATACGAAGTTTCTTAAATTAATTCCAAGTATTCTTAATGGTCTTTCTTTATTGTACTTATTTCCCATCAGTGTTGCTTGTCACAGAAACACTTTTCTTTGTAAATTCAGAAAAAAGTTTAGACTAGGAAGAAATCTACCAGAAAATACTAGCAGAAAACAGCTCTTTGGTTTGTGTATAGTGAAGTCTGTCCTGAATTCCTGACACTTGCCAGTTCTGTAAAGCAACTTGTTTTAGTATACAGTTATTTCAACCTGTATAATATTGACACAATGATGGGTTACAGATCAGGAGTTTGACGTTTTGTTTTGTTTTATTAATTTGTCTATCAGCTAAGCAGTGGGAAAACCTTATTCCCAGCCCTGTCATGCTCAGCTGTTTTACTTTAACAGTGACTTTAATGAGTGTACGTGTTTGGTGAGAGATGATTAAGCCTCAAAAGTAGAGCAAAGAAATTAAATTACATTAATGGACAAAATAAAATTATGCAGAAATTCAGGTAATGCTCATTGTATGGTAATTTCTTCTCCTTTCTTTTTGTTCTTTCATCTTTTTTTTTTTCCCTAAATCTGCTTTCTTTTCTGAATGCTTTTCCTGGTTTTGTTTCTGTGTCCAACTATTAGTTAAAGTGTTAGAATAATTAATTACAGACAAGCCATTCCATCACTCACTGCCAAAAGAGGGAGATGCTTCACACTGTTTACAAAGCTGGGAGATTTATACAGGCTTCTGAAATTGTTTGGAAGAAAGTGAAGTATTATAAGGTATGAAAACTGACAGTGCATTCTTCAAACCACTAATGGACTCAACAACTTAAATCTTATCATTGGAAAGGAGACCAAGTACTCACTATTGTTTAATTACAAAAGGAAAAAAAATTAATTCCTTTTTAATATGCTATTTAGTAGTTAGTTACATTTTTAGGTTGCTGAGTAATGAGAGAGTTTTAAGATGCTCTTGTTCTTCCATGGGAGATGCCTGATCTTGTCAGTAAGCCTGGACAGCTTGAGGATTGTCTCATGTCATGCTTAGTTTCCCAAAACTCCACTATGCAGGGCACTGAGGTCTCTGATTTCTCCTCTCCTTCTCACCTCTGTCACCAAATGCTGACAAAGCTATAAATAGGCCTGGCAAAGCGCTTTTAGATCAGCTCTTTTCTGGTGGGTTGCCTTCATGGAGTAGGGTCTTAGAAGGACATCTCAGTCTTTACGTAGCCTCCATTTATTATATGTGGAGCCGCCTTTTGTTATATATCAAAAGGAGCCTACTTTTGTTACATATGGAGTGTATGAATGGAGAGGACTTCATGCAGAAGAGACTCAAGTTCTGCTACAAACTTCTGGGAGTGGTGTTTCATTACGTGAATCTACGGGTGCAAGGAGGACAGGCAGTGGTGACTGGGATGAGATGTCCACACAAAAGTAACCACTAGGAGTGCAAAGACCATTTTGAGAACTCTAAGACCCCACAGCTGAACCCATGCACTACTACAACTAAAGTTAAAAACCTATTTTTATTTCATTATCTCTCTGGCCTTGCACATGGTGAAATTGTAATTGATACTCAAATGTATAATAATTGAACATGCGCACACACACACACGCTCACTTCATCCCTTGCCTTGTAGATGACAGAGCAACACCTGATTTTCAGTGAGAACAGAATTTGCACAATCAACTGTTCATGTTCAAGATGAAGTGTTCTCAAAAAGTAATAATACAACACTTTGTCCACTGTTGTCTTTTACTAACCATCTCTAGAGAAACCCAAATGGAATAAAACCCCCTGTAATCTTATAGAAGACCCTGTAATCTTATAGTCTGTTATAAAATCTTCACTGTTTACTGAGAGCATTTCTTAAGAAAGATTGTTACACTTGACTTGTGATCAAATGAGATTTGACATTCAATATAAATATACATGCAGGCACACACACACAGTGTCTTTTACAGAAAAATATCTCCATCCCATTGAGGTACCTGAGGTATAGAAAGCTCCATTGCTGCACAATCGCTGTTGAAACTACGATCTCCATTGGCAAAGAATATTTTTCATTTGTATTTATTCAGTCTCTGCTTTCTTCATTACACCGTAGTCCTTTTAATTTGCTGCATCCCTCCATTTCTCGTCCAGAAGAAAAAGGTAAGAGCTTGGATCTGAAAAGGTTAGTAACTATTTTTTGTCCTGTACAGGATAAAGCTTCTCAAGACCAAAACACAAGAAAGAATCATTCTTTTAAAATAAATAAATAAATAAATAATATGTTAAATGTTTTCAGTTAATTGATAGCTATTTAGCAGTTGCTGAGTGTTTGTTACTGGAGATTCTGGAGGCAGAGTAAAAAAAAATGTAACATGCTGGGGATGGAGGAAAAGAAAAGAGCTTTCCATAACAATGATTAACTTGTATACTACTGCATTTTGAAATATGGGCTGTTGCTTTGGTTTTTTTACCCTGATATACAATTTCAGAAATCTCCTGTTCATAATAAGAGTTCTGCACTCAATTATTTTTTTTTCCAGTCTGAAAAAGTTTAGCTTTTTTATTACATTAATCCTTGTATTTCTGTTATTCATTGCATAACTCTAGAGATGCTCATGGGACCTGGGTACTCAACCTCAGTCAAATGTGGTTGGTGTCGCTTGAAGGAGCACAGTGGTCCACACTCTGACAAAGTGGCTGCGTGGGGGTGTGCTCAATGCAAAGGGAATCTCCAGCTGCAGCAATGAACCAGCTTCCACTTACTCCTCAAAGCATTTATGGTGGAGGTAGTGGTCAAAGAGATGTAACACAGGGCAATATTATCCCTATTGGCCTTTACTCCTTCTCTTTCTTTCTTCCTTGCTGTCTGTCTTTCTTCCTTTCTTCCACTCTTTGCTTGGGCTTAGGCCATATACTGCTGACTCAGAACTCAGGGAGTAAGCGATTACCTGGGAAGGGACACATCTATGATGTCTGCAATTGAAGGGAATCACTGTTGTAAATAATCTCCAAACTTTTGTGGGGCTGGAAGTTTTGGGAAGAAATGTTGAGGGGGAGAGCTGATTTTGGAAGGTGGGAATAGAATCCCTGGTGTAAGGATCAACAAAAAACTAGGTACATGTGTCAGAGAAAGACACAAAAAAGGACCCACACTGTGGTGCTGAAAGACCCCATCCCAAAAGTAGGATTACCTGGGCAGTTGGTGGAACTGGCTGCAAGGAAAGCCAGAGATTTCTCTTCTTGTCTTCTGACAAGATATACTAGAAAAGATTTATGTTGAATTCAGAACCTGATTTAGGATATATTCTGAACATGAAGTGGCACATTTTCAGATTTGAAAAATGTCTTGAGACTATTGATATAATGTATAAAGATCCTACAATCTATAATATCTCAGTCCTGTAACGATTCACACAAGTGCTGTGCTTTATGTGCTGCAGATAGTCCCACTGCTTCAACAGGACACTCCCAAGGAGTGGCAGGACCAAGTCTCCGTTTATCCTTGGCTGGGAGTGAAGTACAACATTTGTTCTCTTTGCTATTATCCCCCGTTGATGACAGGAGTCCATGAAGCCGCCTGCACAACTGAGTGTCGCAAAGACAAAGCATATGCTCCCTGTGATAAAGACGGTTTTGTAAGTAGCTGAATTTGAACTGAGCCTGTGTATCATCAGTGCTACCTACTTGCTGTCATATCAGGAAAGCTCCCTAAATAAGCCACAGCTCTGTCTACCAGCACGGGAAGAAAATGACCAGTAAATTTTCTTCCAGTGCCGTGAGTACCCAAAAGAGTAAGTGCTTAATGCACGGGTCACAAGTGGTACAATAAAGGCAGAATTACAAGCTCTTAGAGGTAGAAAAAACAACAAAAAAGGCAGCCATCTTCCCATTTCACAGCATTTATGCTATGAGTCCCTTCGAGTAGATGGATTTCATCAAGGGAGATGAAAACCACTCTAATCATAAAAGCAGAAATAGACATTATTTGCTGTTGTTACTACTAGCACTGACAACAACAATTTAACAGCCATCATTGTGCTTTGTACTGTAGTTTAGTAATACACTCTCAGTTAACACTTTTGATTCAGAAACATTTATGCAATTTGTCAATGCTAAGTACCCACCATCCCTGTGGGTGAGGTGGAAGGTTAATCTCAGAGGTTGTCCTTAGGCTCCCTCTGTAGTCAATGGAGCATGACAAGTCTATTCAGGACGTGATTCAGTGGAGGGCTAATTTAGCAAATCTGAAAGATGTCATGGAGGGCCTCTCTCTTTGCTAGCTGTGGAGGGAGCTTAGGGAAATGAAGTGCATTAGGCTGACCTGAGTTTTGCCTGGTAGTTTGCCCTCCCATTAAGATTGCAAACTGCAACAATAAAATCCAGCACTTCAAAGATACTTAAGAATTTTAAGAGTAAGCGGTTCTTAACAGCTTTGATGGCAGCGGCCAAAAAAAGGAAAAGGCCATGGATTGTGGCTGTGAGTTCATCACAACCAAAGTCCCAGTGCAGATCTCTCTTGTCAGAGGGGAGGGAGGACTGCCCACGTACCACGGCTCCGAGCAGGACCGGAGAGAGGAGAAAGAGGAGAGCTTGCTGCCTCCTCCTTGGCCCTGACATCAGCATTGAGGCAGAGAGGAGAGAAAGTCCCCGCTTTTGTTTGCTTGTTTGCCTCAGCCGAGGGAGGGAGGGAGAGATGGAGGCCGGGTGAGGGGCTGTGCCCCCCGCCGGGCTCCGGGGTCCTTTGTGCCACGCAGCAGGTGTGAGGGGAAGCTCCTCTCCCCGGATGAATGCCCATGTGGATGCGGATGCCCCTGCTTCTTTCATGGCCGTGCTGGGAACCAGAGCAAAGCCACATTTCTCAACAGCAGGCCAGTAATTCCTGGAAACAAGTGAGCGCAGGAAGGGGCCGTGGAGCAAGAATGGGGATGGTTTGGGAATAGCTCTGCAGGACCACTCCTTATCTAGTATTGGCCATTGACAGATTTAGGGCTTCATCCCACGAGCCGTTCAGCATCTCCCGAGAGACCTAAAACTGGTATCTTAACTACTTTTCTCTGTGAAAAGCTGATCTGGCCAAAAAAAACCCCCTCTAAATTCTCCAGTTGAAAGGGGCTGTGTAAACTTAAAACAAAAAAAAAAATCATAGCACACACAGGCCCCTCTTATTCACATCCCGGATCCTCGCTTGCTCTCTGTTTGGCACAGGCGGGCTCTCACCAGCCCGACACTCTTTCCCCTGCATCCATATCAGCGGCTGCAATGACAGGAGCTCTAAGCCAGCTGCCTGACATGCAGGAGCCTCTGCCAGGACAAAACCCACGTATTTAGATGTGTGCTTTCAGTGCCAGGTGGGAGGTGTGAGCATCAAAAAAAAAGGAGGCCTGAGGCTGTGACTGGCAGGCTGTGCTGGTGATCCAGGGGGGCCAGCCACTCTCAGCAAAACTGAATTAAGCCATGATTTAGAGCTGATGGACTGGGGCACTGAATTTGCCACATCCTGACATGATTCAAGTTGG